TCATCCCCGGTGGGAAAATCATCTCCTTTGGAGAATGTATATGTCAAGTATTCTTTCTGCATTTCCTTGGATGTACTGAAAGTCTCCTTTACACCGTTATGGCTTACGACCGCTTCATTGCTATCTGCAAGCCCCTCCACTACAGCCATATCATGCGCTGGAGAGTCTGCCTCATCCTCTCTTTGGGTACCATGATGGGAGGATGCCTGAACTCTGTGTTAGAGACGACCCTCACCTTCCAACTGCCCTATGGATGGAGCAACCAGATTGACTATGTCTTTTGCGACATCCCTGCCCTGCTGAAGCTGGCTTGTGCAGACACAACTCTCAATGAGATGGTGATTGTAGTGGACGTTGGCCTTGTCGCCATGACCTGCTTCATCCTTATCCTGACCTCCTATGTCTATATTGTCTCCGCCATCTTGAGGATCAGCAGCAGTGAAGGGCGTCGCCGGGCCTTCTCCACTTGCACGGCCCACATCGCCGTGGTAGTAATCTATTATGTGCCGGTTGTTTTCCATTACCTGAGGCCAGCATCTCAGGACTCCATGGATGGTGTGGTGAGCATGTTCTATACCACAATAACCCCGTTTCTGAATCCTGTCATCTACACATTGAGGAATAAAGAGATGAAGGCCGCTCTGTCAAAACTGCGGGTTGGGAGTCCCAAGTAAAGAGCAGCATGCTTGAATGGCTAGGTTCTGCCCTAAGCTGTCAACACAGATCAACTCAATTTGATTTCACCAAATGTTGATCGGGCTGAGCATCGGAGTGAATGAGAGAGAAATGCATGGCACAAATAAAATAAACAAAATATAGATAAAAATATTTTTTTAAAAAATAATTCAAGGCATCCACAATACCAGAGTTTAGCCCAAACGTTGCCAACCCATGGTGACCTTACCTTGTCAAATGGACTCTGTGGAACCTGAGCCACAGAAGACTCTCTTCCATCTCCTATCCAGACAGCATGTGTTAGTGGTTAGAGCAGGGGTGTCAAACATGTGACCTGGGGGCCGGATCAGGCCCCCGGAGGGCTTCTATCAGGCCCACAGTGGAACTGGCTGTCTTCTGCTTCTTCTTTCAGTTCTGCTGCTGCTGTGTCATCGTAGGTTTGCAGCTTACAGATACACACCTGAATAGCATACTCAAGATTGCAACAGCCCAG